ACTTTAATTCATTTATTAATTATTGCTTCTGTGAATTCTATTCATCATTTTCAATAAGTTGATTCTAAAGTGATTCTTTTTCTTCCATTTGAAATTTCAATTAAGTTGTAATTTAATCAAACTAAGTTAATTTTTGTATTATTGAGAAATCCTTTTGGGTCTTTGATACATATTGATTAAACTTATTAAAATTAATAATATTCTACTTGCTACAATTAAACATCTTTGAATTCATTAGATAAACTATTAATTGTTTGCATAATGAAATCATACTAATTTAATCCATCATTAAAAATATCTTAATATATTTTACAATGTTATATTTATAAATTTAGTTATTTAATTTATTAGAGATTGTAAATAGAGTTCCTATCATCAAATACGTTATCATTTGTCACATCTTTTACATTTGATATATTAAAACTTGATTCTTTGAAGATCTTATTGATCTTTTCAGTTGCTACTAAATCATTTTATATCAATTTTCCAAAATTAATTGATATAAGTTATTATTAATTAAGATCCTCCTTCGAAATATTAAATTGTTTTTCACTTAAAACCTAGAATTAATCAGTTTAACTTAATAATTCAGTTAATTCATTAATTTAATCATTATTCATTTAAAAAATAACATTGTCATTAAATTCAATAATTTCATTTTGATAGAACATTTAATATTATGTGTTTATCTTATTTATGATTTCTGAAATAGTGGAATTGTACTTTTCTTTGATATCTTAAAGAATATCAATTATTTGTGATGATTTCAAATGCCTTGAATTCTAAAATCTTTTAATTTAATCATTAGTTTATCCTAAGTATTCATTCCATTTAAAATTAGCTTCTTCTAAAGTAGTGTATTTGATTGGATTATTTGATTATATACATTCAACACAAGCCAACCTAGACTATTTAGTTTTTTCAGGATTCAAATTAAACATAATAATTTCTTTTCCATGTTTATTACATTAAATCCTTAAACTTGGTGTTTTGTATTTTAATATTTAATAAATAATGATTTACTTATGGATCTTCTTCTTTTTTATTAAGTAATTAGAATTACTTTACTTCTTTATTCTCATTTTCTACTTTTGTTTTTTCTAAACATTCTTTGATTTCAATTAATTTAGGACAATTAATTATTGATTATAATTATTGTTCTATTGAATCGATATAAGAATTATCATCCAAAGACTTCTCAAATTCTTTAGGAATTTCAATAGTTGAATGATCCTTTATAATTCTTTGATAAAATTCTCACATCTTCTTCAAAAGTAGAATTCACTGTTTTTGATTCTGAATCATTTAATTCATTCTCCATTATAGTTATTTTCTAATTTAAATTAGATTATAGTTTGTCTATGGTATTATTGATAGACACTTTCATTTCTTTAACTTATGATTCAATTTATTTAAAGTTTTGAATTCTTCTTTAATACTCTTTGATTTTATTGTTGAATTACTCACTTTTCATTTATTTAATCATTGTTTTTGTTTCATCTACCAAAGCCATATTTTAAATATCGATTTTCTCCATTAAACACTTTATGCAAAGGTATTTATCTTGATCAGCTGTTGATTATGTTAAATCTATAGTTTAAATCTCTAATTTATGTTTTTAGCAAACTTTCCTATCTAAATCAGATAACATTTATATAATTGATTATATTAATATCACATACTAAGTATTTTATTATTAATTTCTGCTTCTAAATCAGCCATAATTTTCCTGGTTGAGTATTGAGTATTTGCTTTATTCATTCAATTACGAACAGCTAATTATTTACTATTCAAATTTCTGAGTCTAGTTTTAATTCCATAAGTATTCATTTTTTTATGAGAGAGTTAGGAGATTTTATTAATTGATCAATAGAAATGAGAATGAATTTTCGTTCGCATATATTTTGAGAAAAGTTGTAATTTTGATTTTGCATTAAATGATGAAACTTAATCTTTTCTGTCTGATTAAAGAATATTCACATTTGATTTTTGGATTTCCAAAATTTTAAGAAAATGATAAGATAGATGAAAAATTGAAGTTTAAAAGAATAAATTATTCAAAATATATATTAGAATTAATTTAAAATAACTTCTAAGAGAAAGAAAAAATAAATAATTAATAAGATGAATCTTTAGTGTAAAAATTAAAGAAGAAATTATAACACAGATTATCATTAATTTTAAAATTAAAGATAAGTAATAACTTTTTTAATGCCATAAATAAATACTTTAAAATTAATGTAGAAATTATTAATTTCTTAAATCTTAGGAACTAAAAATAATAATTAGATTTTTTATATAAGAACCTAAATTTTAATAAATAATTTATATATTAAATTATTAAAAATGCTTGTTATTGTTTGAAAAAAAGATTTGGGCATATCTCAACAATTAGCAAATTATATTTTACCAAAAATCATAGATGAAATTGTGGTTAAAA